AATGGACTGCAGAGATCCAAAGAGTTAAAGAAATGCTGAACTCCCAATGTTCTTCCAGGCTAAAGAAGCCTTCCTGGCAGGGGTTCCTTTCCCAGTGAATGAGTAAGGCCCAGGATGCATAGCTGGGCCTTGTGTACTTTCCCACAGGTCTGAACAGGATCTGCAGCTCAGCACTGCTTGGAGAGGAAGGCCAAGCAAGCCTCACAGGGGAGTAGACAGTCCCAGGCTCCACTGCCCACCAGGCTCTCTGAAGAGCCTGATAAAGAAAAGGAGTTCTTTTTAATATTTTTTAAGGGCAAAAGTTACATGTGGGTCAGTGGCAGGTACCTCTCTGGAGGCATTTTATGTTATTGGTGCAAACCTCCCACAAGTTGAACTTAAAGGAATGTTCAGTCCTTGCAGGAAGTCTCCAGACACAGGAAAAGCTAATAAAAATGAAAAGGGAGGAGGCTATGCCCTCCTTCCCCAACTGGGCTGCTACAACATCTCACATTACAAATTTGCAAACTAATTACTTAGAGCCAGACATATTTTTTAAAGATTTCCCTTCGCAACTAAATGAATACAGAGAGATTCAAAATAGAGTACTTGGCTCCAGACTTAGATAGGGCTCTGAATTTAAAAGTCTAATTAAAATGAATCCTGTTTGCCATGTAGTTCTCTCAAACACTAGCATTATTGAAATTACTCCTAACAACTTAATTGATTTAACCAATACCTCAAGTAAAGATTATGCAGTAATTAGTTCAGCCTGCAGAAGCCAGTATATTAGGGATGACGAGGTTTCCTATAATGGCTCTGGCTACTTTTTTCTACATGAATTTATCTCAATTCTAGGTTTAATAATTTTTCTTTAAAGGTACAGCAAAGAAAACAAACTATCAGAAATCGTTGAGATGCTAATTTGCATGCAGTGATTTCTGAAGAAAGGGATTTCTTTTCTACCTCTCTCTCAGAAAGGGGAAAGGGGAGATGGCAGCACTTTGTGAGTCATCCTTTAGAACAGCATTCCAAGTATGATTTACTTAATGTAGCCCTATAAATCACCTAATGTGCAAAAATAATCTCAAGATCTGCATGTAAACATAGCTATTAAAATACTACAATTACTGTGTATGCTTAGTGTTCTAAGGCATATCTCATCTTAGGGTAAACAGCTTTTCTCTCAGGTGGGGCATCTAAATTAGCGTCCAAATTCCATGTCCATCTAAGACTGCTGAATTTGTGACACCACTGTATTATCTAAGTATAAAGGCAAATGTGAAAGGAAAGGGACAATTACATACTTTTTTAGCTGAGATCTTTTGCCTTCAACTTGCTATACTGGTTTTGAAGTCTAATTTATTTAACATTGTAATTGGCACCACTTGACAATTATTAATCACATAGAAATTTTTAGCTAAGCAAAAATAAAATGTTTTCTGACCATATTTGTTTTAGAGATTTGCTCTGTGACAGCACAGGGCATTTATTTTTAAATAAAAATTGAGCCGGGGATTTGGATATACATACCTTTTGGTAATACTTATTTTTGGCTTAAGACTTAACTTTGTGTAGTGTGGTAATTGGTAACTGTAGCAATCATCCTCCCGATTAGTACTGCATTAAAAACTGTAAACCACCTACAATTACTAGCCTGATCCCTAACCTCTATAAGGTGGTAATCCAGTATTGGTTGTTAGCTGTCAAATTTATTTCCCTTTGGTGAAATATACCCTGCATTTAATTAGGAGTCATTCTTGATACTTTATGGAGCTGAGCCCAAGCACTGTGGTTTTGACATTTAACCCCTGACCCTTAAATATTTACCAGCTTTTAAACTGGTTGTGTACAATTATCCCTTCAAGTATATATCAGATCCGTCATTCTGACCATTGTAGTCAATTCCAAGTCAGATGTATTATTCTGATGCTGGAATTGGAAATATAGTTGTGATGTTTCACAATGATCTCCATTAGGCAAAGCTGCAATCACTTTTTGCTAGCTGCCACTCACAGAAGAAGCAGGGTGGGCTGCTGTCAGGAGTCACACTGCTGAGCCTGACACACAGGAAGTGGAAAGAGCGAACACAGCTGCTCTTTGAGCTCTGGGTAGCTCATTGATGTTTTAAAACCAGTACCTTCAACTCACAATCACGAAAGGGATATTTCTGGAATCATTTCCTTGGTTTGCTTGAAATCAGCTTCATTGAGATATGATTTGGGAGATGGTGTGTATGTATGTATGTGTTTGTGTGTGCGCATGCACACACACACACATATGTGCGCGCGTGCATTGGACCTAAGGCTTGAACTCAAGGCCTGGGTACTATCCCTGAGTTTTTTGCTCAAGGCTAGCACTCCACTAGAGAGACACAGCTCCATATCTGGCTTTTTTTCCCCAGTCATTAACTGAAGATAAGACTCTCACAGACTTTCTTGTCCAGGCTGGCTTTGAACCTCAGTCCTCATATCTCAATCTTCTGAGTAGCTAGGATTACCGGATCACTGGCAGCTTGCCAGGAGATATATTTTTAAGCTTTTTTGATTTTTCTAGGCAGGCTCTGTTGGCATAAAATTTCCACAGCACTTAACATACTAGAAATATTCTTTAGATGCTAGATGTTTTTAATGTCTTTTAATTCCAAAGACTGGAAATAAAAGGTCTCATTAGTCAATATCCAGTTTTAAAAGATAACATTCTGAATGTTGTTACATTCACACACTGCAGGACTTTTACTGGAATAAGCCCCAGATTTTCTCAGACAGCATGGCCATCTTCTGCTCTGCCTGCTCTGCAGGCTTCTAGAACCACATATAGGATGCTATGTACATAGTAAGGGCCTTAGTAACTCAGTAGGGGCCTCAGTATGGCATAGCAGTGGGAAATGTTCACTAGGTTCATGCAAGTAGAAAGATTATTACTGGAAGGGAGATGAAATCAGAGACAGAAGAACAAAAGGATATATTCCTGGTATCTCTTATAAACCTACCCTGGTAGAGCAAGAGAGGCTAGGGAGCTATAGATGTATGTGGTGCTAGTAGTGAGCCCATAGCTATTCAAAATTAGAGCCAGATGCTAGGCTTTGGCTACTTTTGGAAACCCATCTTTGGGTCAGCTGCACTTCCAATTAGAAGTGGAGGCTCTGGGCACTAGTTACCATCTGACACAGAAGCCTCCTCCAGAGGGGAGCCAAAACCCACATATGAATCAGCTAGATTTGGAAAAAAAAAAAAAGAAGACAGAAGTCTCTAGAACAGCCTAATGTGTGATCTGAAATGCAAACTCAGTTAAGTGTTGAGCATGGTTAAATGCCTCAGTGGCAACTTGGTGCTTCCTAGATGTGGCCATCACTGATCCTCTGAGGGCAATGCTGCATTGTCCAGACACACAGTTTGAACAATACAAGCTGCAGCTAGATTCATGGGCTGGAAGAGGAGTGAAATTTCTTTCATTTTCCCAAGGAAGACATACTGGAATGTAGTACATAGAATTTAGGTATCAGAGACTCAAGATGCTTCTTACACTTAAAATTCCTTGGAATTTCTTTTTCAAATTTTAGTAAGTAATGTTTTAGCGATTGGGAAAGATTCTAAAATTTAAAACAGAGCTTAAAAATAGTCCCCCTTCTGCAGACTTCTGCCTTTAGAACATCCCAAAATATTTCCAAGTGTTTCTTGTTTATAGTTTGATCTTAAATTCAAAGGTGAACCTTACTGTTTTAGTCATTTGTAAGAAACATGATACTGGAAAATAGTATATTTCCTCTCAACTTCTAACTGCAAAGGGAAACTCATATGGAACCCAACAAAGTTACAAATAGCTGATAATCAAATGTTGTGGCTTCTGAGACTGAATTTTACTAAAGAATCAATGGCGCAGAAAACTAAAAGTCAACAAATCTTGTATTTTCGATCCTTAATGAAATCTTGTTGCTTGTTTTAAATGTTACTACAAACTGGAAACCAGAAGCTTTGATGTTAGAATAAGGAACAGATTTAAACAAAAAAATCAATATTGGCATTTATTTACCTGCTTCAGTGTCACTGCCATAAAAATTTTTACTGATCATATAGGTAAAACGTGTATACATGTGTATGGCAAGGGTTGGGGGAAAGACAGTGAGAAAGGACACCAATAAAGGTCATTACAAGGACCTGAGTACATGGGACTTGTTCAGAACTTATCACTTAACTGGTTTCTTTTCATTCCTTTTTGTTCTACTGCTCAGGAAGTCCTGCAATGCTGCCCCAGAAGTACTGTTCTAAATGCCATTTCCTATCCATTTTCCTACCATTGTCTTAATTCAAGAGACTCATCCTATCTGGTCTAGACACATCTATAATTGAGTGGTGTTCACTCTTGGGTATAACACACCCAGACTTCTTTCTCAAGCCCATCTCCCATTATATTAACTATATATACCCATATATTTTGGGAGTTTTCTCCAAAAGATCCTGTTAGTTCATACTTCTGAACTTTCTGCACATACTGCTCCTTCAACTTGGCTTCTTCTTTTCTTCTTCCAACTCTATTCTTCCAAATTCAGCATGAAAATCTCCTCTGAAACATCATCTGAGGTGGGCTTGTGGGCCAAGTGTATTCTCATGATCTCAGTGCTTAAAGGATTCCCCATATAGCTTAGAAGTTCATCCTCACCTTTGTTTGGAGCAATCCATTCCTCTGACTGGCAAATAGTCCAACTATAGCCAGAGAGATCAGGGTAGAGGCCTGCAAAGATTCCTCTCCAAGCCAGACTAGATCCCTCTATTTCTCTAGATGGAGAACACAGTTTTGGCTGCTCTTAGCAAATAGTCTATAGGCATAACTTGTAAGCATAGAGAAGAGGCAGCCTGGATGAGCTTACAGGAGGGTCTGGCCAACATATATCATATGGTTAAAGCAAATATATTTTCTGCTACTTGAAGGAAACAAAAAAATATCCTAATTTGTTGGGAGGAATGAATAAACTGTCTAGCTTTTCTTGCTTTCAAAAGCTGCAATGAGGGGGTCGTGCGCGGGCTCTGGAAGTGGAGGCCATCATGACGGCTCCGGGCAGCCTGGTCACCAGCCAAGGCCGGCGGTTCGAGTGGGCCATTGAGCTGAGAGGGCCCAGCGCAGGCAGCAGGGGCCGAAGTGACCGGGGCAGCGGCCAGGGAGACTCACTGTACCCCGTCGGGTACTTGGACAAGCAGGTGCCGGACACCAGCGTGCAGGAGACGGACCGGAACCTGGTGGAAAAGCACTGCTGGGACATCGCCCTGGGCCCCCTCAAACAGATCCCCATGAACTTATTCATCATGTACATGGCCGGCAACACCATCTCCATCTTCCCTACCATGATGGTGTGCATGATGGCCTGGCGGCCGGTCCAGGCACTCATGGCCATTTCAGCCACTTTCAAGATGCTAGAGAGTTCAAGCCAGAAGTTTCTTCAGGGTCTGGTTTATCTCATTGGGAACCTGATGGGCTTGGCACTGGCTGTTTACAAGTGCCAGTCCATGGGGCTGTTACCTACACACGCGTCAGATTGGTTAGTCTTCATGGAGCCTCCAGAGACACTGGAGTTCAGTGGTGGAGGACTCGTTTTGTGAACTTGAGAAAGAAGCTCCTTGAACCGAAAGTACATGGGCCTTATTTATACCCTGCTCTAGGCCTAGTAGCTCCTAAATGTGCTCACTCTTAAAATAACCACTGACAACACCCCAAATCTCTTTTCCATCGTGAGGAGACAAACTCTAAATGATAATATGACTACAAACACAAAAGAAAATCTTACCACAACCCCTGCCTGAAAATAATGTAGAAAACTTTATTTATGTGTTAATACAGAGCAAAACAATACAAGCAAAACTATGTAAACAGGAGTGTTTCAATAAATTAAAATGCTTTAAAAAAGCTGCAATGAGAAATGGAGGGTAACATTAGATATTTTTAATAATAAAAATCTAGTCCTCTTGAGTTGTTGGGTTCTTCCTGGGTGATAAAGGCCACTACAAATAATAAACCACACTCATTACCGTGTCCATACCAAGGAAGATACTCAGGGTGGTGACAGTACATACCAACCTATAGCAGGCAGATACATTAATGCACAAACCAAGCTAAACCTGCTTTGTGTAAGTCAAAGGTGAGCGAGTTAAAGAGAGCTCTGTCAACCCTGTTGCACCTCTACTACTAAATAATCCCTCTACTACTAAATAACCTCACTACTAAATAATCCCATGCTGCTGATCACATATATGGTATATATGTGCACACTGGAGGGAAACCAGGAGGAGGACACAGAACTAGAGGGAATCAGGGAAAAACATACAACAGCGGGACCCATCAGCTGCACTAGACATTGATCAAAACGAACTAGGCAACTCAATACGATGAGAGGGAGGGAATGAATGGGAAACAAATAAAATGTACATATCACCCAATGTGGAAGAAATAGTTGTATTGTCAAAGCTCGTGGAACTCATAAATGTTATAGACCACGATAGACAATTTGCCCCATGAAAGTCAGAATGTGTTTGTGACTTTAACTAAGCATCACTATCCCACAATACTGTGAAGTTTGGGAAATTATGTAATAACTTAATCACAATAAATAATTTGAAAAGAGTAAATAAAATGATGCTAATTGAAATTAATTCCAAGACATGAAAATAAGGATTATTTGTTTTGTTTTGAATATACTGTGTGGTGAAGTTATTTCTTTTTTCTTTCATTTCCCCCTTTCATTTATCCCTTGTTGTCACTATTTTTGATTTTTGTGTTCTGTGTCTTGTTTATCTGATTTGGGGACAGAAAGGGGAATAACAAAATGGTGAGACAAAAGACAAAGGGTGAACCAATGCGACAGTCATACTCACAAGACTCTATGCTGGAAATGAACTTTACAACTTGGGAGGGGTGGAGTCAGGAGGAGGGAAAGTGAGAGAAAAATGAGGGATGGCATAACAATGTTTGACAAGAAATATACTATGACCTTACTTATGTAACTGTAACCCCACTGTACATTGCCTTTACAATAAAATAAAATTAAATAAATATCATTTAACAACAACAACAAAAATTCTGCATTATACCCTTCAAATAGCTACAAGAGAGGATTTGGAATGTTCTTACCACAAAGGAAAGATAAATACTGAAAGAACAGATATGCTAAACATCCTGATTTTATCATTACACAGTATTTATATGTATCAAAACATCACAATGTACCCCATAATATGTACAGCTACTATCACTCAACTAAAAACAAAATTTAAAAAGCAAAAGTATTACAGAAAATCTTATCTTAAATAGATCTATATCCAGATTAAGCGTAAAATTCTTGGCATTCTTTTTGCATTTAACTCAAGAGTTCAAACTTAATGCCTATTCATATTTCTATACTTAGGTTTGAGTCATCCTAACATCAATGATAAAGAGCCTTCATTATCAGAGAAAATACTTAGAAAGTTGTACCAAAAAACAACAACCTATATATACCCCTTGTCCTTGAAAGATTTGAAGAAAACTCAATTTGAACAGTGTCTTTTTAAATTATGGCAAATAAAATGAATGTACAAGCTGCTGTATTATCTCAAACAACTTTGGCTACATTCATTCATGAAAGTACATTTCAAAATAACTTTGCCTCATGTCTCTATGCATACATTTATAATTAGCTTGTTTCTTAAACAAGAAAAAAATGAGCAGAATGTTGCATTTAAAATCTTAAGGTAGCATTTCATTATGTGAATAGATAATGTATAAATGAACTGGCTCTCTTCAAAATAAAATAAAAATGTGGTTTTAGAAGAAAATTTCATAGTGTTTAAAAATGTATTCCTTTTTCTCTCATGTTCAAACTGATTATAAAATTTGACTCTGGTTACAGAATAAGAGTAGAAACATCTAAAATAATGGCAAGAGACATTGTTTTCATATCATACAGCATTTTATATCTGAGATTGAGGCATTTGCCAATGTCATCATCTGAGTCTCTAATGATTTCTCCTGTACATTAAAAATAAAATAAGTGACAGAGATAAGGTCATAGGCTGAGTCAGTGGTGGAGAGAATAATAGATTGTATAGACACAATTTATTATCCCATATTCAAGACTGTACTTACGCTTTTAAGGGAAGGAAAGAATATCCGGATTCTCTTTGCACCACTTTCAGTGATGAACATAGTTATAGACACACATTCACCCATAAGTATAAACAGAGGTTTTATAGAAAATGCACATACATGATTACAGAAGAATAATGATCTGGCCCTTAAGTTTACTAACCAACCACTTCATTGCTTATAAATATTAAAAACATATGTTCCCCTGCCCCAGTGCTAAGATATTTAACATAGTTGAGACCTTCTGGTTTTTTATTAATTGACTGCTTAATTGGTGCTGGGGCTGGACCCAAGGCTTCATGAATACTGAACACAAGCGCTACTACCAATCCCACCTAACTGTACAAGCTCACAGAGCTGCTTTGTTTGCAGTGCTGCTAGTTCTCACTGCAACATTCATACATGATGCCAAGGTGAAACATGTGTCAACCCTAGGTTTATGATATATGAATATATGCCTGGGAGCTCCTTGATAAGGAAGTGAGCAGCCCAACTAGCAGATACATTAATTCTTAATGCCCATTTCCTCTCCAAAAATTTCAAAATCAAGCAAAAACTGACTATATCCCGGGGTTAAAGTGAATCATGTTTTAATTGAAAATAGTAACTATGTCTCTATAGAGAGAGTAGAAAAGATGGTAAACTCTTTGAGTCTGGAAAAAATGGGGGAAACAATACAGAGAAGATATTCTCTACATACTTTGAAATCCAAGCCTGCCTACTTCTTTTTCTTTCACCAAGCTGTAAAGATTTCAAGCTGTACTATGGGTACAAGGGCTGATAGAGGGTGGAAGTTGGAGACGTTTCCAGAGCAACATCTATTCAGCATGGCCCCTAGAGAAGAGCTGAGCACCTACTTTAAAAACTTAAGTGTTTCGTCTCCAACTTGTGTCTATTAAGATGTATTAAACTTTTCAATGTGGATCCTACTAAGATAAAGAAGGAAGAAACTTTGGCAAAACAGGCAGTAAAATGGAAAAGACTTGCTAATAACTAAAATACACACAAAAAAGAAGATGAATTCATTCTTCACCCTTCAGATATTTAAGAGGCATTTTTATGTAATTATTGAAGCCACATACCTCTGTGGAAGGAGGAGGGGAGAGTTAAAACCTTGGAGTCATTCTTACCTCATCCTCTTTCTCTGCCTCAGTATCCATTAGTTCTTAAATTCTATATTGTCTACCAAGGCAACATCTCTGTCAGCCTGGGCTAAAATTCTAGTCCACACAGATCTGGGCACTTGGGTAGACCAAAGAGATGTGGTCCTTGACACAAGAGAATATAGTCCCATAGGAAGATAAATACTTTGGAAAGAGGAGAGAGTGAAGCAAGATTTCTGAAAAAGAAGCACAGATACCATGGGAATGTATAGCAAGGACATTAAGCCAAGCCTTGTACTGAAGAAGCTTCTTTGAGGAAGTAGCATTATAAGGAGAGAGTTAGAAAAGATGAAAGGTAGAAAGTAGTGGGTAATTTAGTTTAATCCTCTTGAAGTTCAGCACAAATCATTTGAATGTCCAATCTTCATGACTCCTCACTGCCTGTGGAGTGACATGTGGACAACTTACCTTTGTGCCTAAATTCTTTGTAGCAAGCAACAGCTTATCTTTCCATTTCATCATCTCATATTGCTTCCCTTCATAGCATGAGGCTGAGGTCAGAGTGCTTGCTCTATAGAATAGTCAACACTTACAGACCTATCATTCACCTTCTGTGCCTGTTCCTGTTTCCTCAAGCCAGAAATATAGGTGTTTTAATGCTACCTATCCTTACTGCCCCATTTCAATGACAGTGCTCTACAAAATCTCTTTGGGTATGTGACCTCCCACAGAGCCTGATTACACTCTCCTTAAATGGAGAAGTACTTTATCCTTACTCTAATTTTTGACATTTTTTTTCTCTATGCCTTGAGATGTTTATGAAATTTGATTTAACCAAGTCCTACCCTCAACTCTGTTTTTATTTTTTTATTTGTTGAATATCAATTATGTGCCAGAAGAACATTGCAAAGAACGAGTGTAACAATAGTGTAAAATAATAGTACAAACAACAGTGTAACAAATACTGTAAACAGATAGTGATTTTGTTTTTGAATGCATGTGTTACAAAAGGCCTTTGAGATACTAACGTAAAGAAGTTCATAGTACAGGGATGAAGTGGAGAGGTCCAAACTAGAGACAAAACTTGTGGGAGTAGTTTGATCAGATGAAAACAAGGGAGCAGAAAGATATGTGACATATAGTGAAGAAATCTAATGAGAGGGGACAAATGAATATCTTTGCTACTAGGGCAAAGATTTTCAACAATCACATCACTTTAGTTTTGGCTGAATAATTTTGTAGGGCGCTGTGCTGTAAGTCAAAGGATGTGTTTAACAGCTTCTGGCTTCTACTTACTACATGGTAACTATCTCCTTATGAACTTTTTCTCCCAGTTACAACAGGCAAAACAATCTCTAAACATTGCTAAATGTTTCCAGGGTTC